GCCCAGGAGTTTGAGGTTGCTGTGAGCTAGGCTGACACCACGGCACTCACTCTAGCCCGGGCAAAAGAGTGAGACTCTGCCTCAAAAAAAAAAAATACAATGGAACTATATTCTACTATCACATTAACAAAAAAATCTGAAGACCTTTAAGAAACTGAATCACTGGTTAAAAATCTGTCCCTTCCCAGGAAAAAAGGAAAGAATGAAAGGATGAAAAAAGAAAGAAAAAGAGAGAGAAAGAGAGAGGGAGAGACAGACAACAGGCTTCTCTGATGAATTTATAGGTTCTATCAAGCCTGTAAGGAACAAAAGCCTTATCTGATACAAATTCTTCAACAAAATAAATAACTCATTTTATGAAGCTAAAAGAAATGTGATATCAAAGCCAGATAAGGACAATATGTGAAGAAAATAATAGTTCAATCTCAGTTATGCATATAGCTGGAAAAAAAAATCAAACACTACTAAACAAAATCTAGCAATGCATATTATTAAAAAAACAAAGACAGTTCAAGTAAGTTTTATTCCAGGAATGAAAGGTGATGATACTATAGAAATCTATTATCGTATTTTACCACATTAACAGATTAAAGAAGGAAACTCATATGATCTATTCAATAGCTACAGAAAAGGTAGCTGAAAAATATTCAATGCTCATTCATGTTTTAAATTGTTTCTTAAAATAAAAATAGGAAAGATGTTGTGTACTTTCCCTTTCCCCCTCCACTCTTCTCCACCAAGAGGCTGACTTGAACCGACTGTAGCAGTGGAGTCCCTTGCCTCTTGCCATTGCCAGCAGGAGACTGGAGGGTTGGAGTAGAGCTGCTGAAGTCAGGTTATTTACTTCTCTAGCTCCCTCCTTACCAGGTCATAGCTCCTCCTTAAGTTAGCTTCCCTGGGATCCAGGAACCACTCTCCCTCCTTGCCCCTTCAGGCCCAGGGACAGTATAACTTTATATTATCGTTTGCAGGTTGCCATAAACTCTGGCCACACCTTTGTAAATAGTCCCTTTATTAAACCAACAGTGTATCATTGGTTTCTAGACAAAACCTTGACTCACACAGAGGGTAATTTCCTTAACCTGAGAAGAAATAGCTACCACAAACTCAGAATAAGAATCTCTAAGGAATGAAATAGAATAGAAAATACTAGATGGCATCACATGCAGTAAAGCACTGTTTTTCATGATGCATTTGTTTCCATTGTATACACACAGTAAACTAGGACATGCTGTCAAACATATTTTTTACTGTGAGTCACAAGAAAACTGAGAAATACTTTGAATACAACAAAACAAATCTTACCTGACTTACCATATTATAGAATTCCAGCTCTCTTGGGCCCCTTGGAGGTGGCTGTAACTGTTTCAAAACTGTGCCATCTGGATGTTGCAGTATACCTATGTAAAAAAATTAGAACTTTTTAATGCTCTAATATTAATGTACCTTGCTTCACAAAATAGATTTGTTCCTAAAGTGACAGGTAAACTAATTTCGTAAATTTAGGGATTTACTTTTACTTATTTCAGAATACTCAACCAACATGTTTTAGTACTTGTTATACGTAAAACATCAGAATACAAATTTGAAATAGCTTAGTTTTATTGTCTCCAACCACTACTCCCTCATGGCCCCCTTAGACTTAAAATATGTGTAAATTTTTACAAAAATTTCTCAGTAATAGACTTTCCCTGAGATGTTAATTTATAGTTAAACAAGAAGCAAGTGAAAAGCAACAGCACAAATCGATCCCACTTTTAAAAACAGAAGGAAAAAAATACACGTTAACAGTGGCAATATATAAATTTCCTACTTTGGTAATTTTTTACAAGCCTCTCATTTGTTATAAGAAAGCAACCAAAAAATTTTCCTGATTCAGATGTACTGTATACAGATATATACAGATACTACAAGGATATCTAGCCAACGGGAAAAGTGAGGGCAGAATCAGAATCAGGCACCAAGCCTGGAGCAGGAAGGGGCACATGTTTATAATCTGATCATTCAAAGGGGGAGACTTTTTCTAAGCTCATCATACGGGTACCAACACTGGTCCTATCCCTATCCCATGAAGACTCATTCCCAAAACTTTAAGTTAAAATCTTAAATTGTTATGTACTGAGATTTCACAAAATCATGCTAATTAGAACAGAATATGCTTAAATAAATTTATTTAGAACTTTGGTGAAACTTGAGTTTCTATTTCTTTTTAGCAAGTGTTAGGAATTTTTTTTTTTCAGCATATTATGGGGGTACAGATGTTTAGGTTACGTATGTTGCCCTTGTCCCCTCCCCCAAGTCTGAGCTTCAAGCGTGTCCATCCCTCGGATGGTGCGCATTGCATTCTTTGTGTATGCATATACCCGTCCCCCCTCCCGCCTCCCCGCTGCCCGACATCCAATAGATGTTATTCTCACATGTGCACTTATGTGTTGATCAGTTAATACCAATTTGATGGTGAGTACATGTGGAGGAATTTTTAATCATGGCAAAAGTGCAGAATTCAATCAACAGAAGCAGAAAGTCTCAATTTAAAAGGTATGGCAATCAATTTTTTTAAGACCTAGATATAGAAGGGAGGTAAATATTAATCTATATGGATAAGATTGATTAGCAAACAGTCAAAAGATTATGGGACTTCAAGGAGTAGTCTAATATAACTAAAAATTGCTGAAGAGGAATTCTGTTCCTGAAGGTTGGGAGGGAGAACAAAAGGGGCCTTTAACTCCCATGGTTATGACATTTTGTATGGGGCTAATGATGAGTGGTAGATGCAAAGAAGCCTTGAGGAACAGAATTCCAGAGGGGAAAAAAAATGGGGCATTCATAAATGAGCAGAGAACCACGGCAGCTTCTCTACTTTAAGGCAGGCACCTGGTCTAGATATAGGTAACCTTCCTATTAGACAAATACATTTTATCAGGCAAGCAGAAATCAGTCTGGCTATAGACAACAGTGTGGGGTAGTAGAATGGACTAGAGATTACAATAGTAACACAAAAACATATTGCTTGGTCCAACAAGTCTCCCATATTACTCATCCTGCAACACAACCCCTCAAGTTTTTGAGAAAGCAAAAGATGGTAACTCCAGGCATTCTCCAGCTGAGTGAATTCCACAACCCAATAAACCAACAGTATCTGAATCTGCAGCCAATCCCGCCCCCAGCCCCACCCCCATCCACCACTCAAACGCTGTCAAGATTTAAAAAAGAAGGCATCTTGGAAACCTGAGCCAATAGCAGATGAACTGAATCTAAGACTGCAGACTAGCACCAGCTCAACTAAACTCTAGAAGGAAAATACTTATCAACCCCTTACCCTAAACAGAGGAAAAGGGATGGAGGGGGAGATAAAACAAAAAATAGTACATTTAGAAAATACAGTAAATAGAAGCTGACACACAACTAAACAAATCACTGTAATTAGCAACCAAGGATGTTAAAACAAAAATTATAAATATGTTAAAGAAATTATTAAAAAAGATGGATATAAAGGCTGAAGAGATGAGGTATTTCGGGAGAAAAACAGACTGTCAAAAAGAACTAAAAGAAACTCTAAAACCAAAAGGGCACAATATCTGAAATACAAAATTCAATTAATGGAATTAAGTCAACAAACAATCACAGAAGAAAGGAGCAATGAACATTAAGAAAGACTAATAGAAAATATATAAATTAAAGCAGAAAGAGAAAAAGTACCTAAAAAGAAAAAGGAAATAAAGCATTAGAAACCTGTAGGGTACTATCAAGCATTTTAACAAACATGTAGTTGGAGTTATCATCAGGAGAAAAGAGAATGGGTCAGAGAAAAAATTTGGGGCTTCCACTTTCCACCTAAGACATAGAAAGCTAGAAAAAGCATTGCTCCCACCTAATAACAAGAAACAGCTAGATAATCTACAAAATCGTAGCCTTTCTTGAAACTATCAGAGAGCTGAGACAGTAAACAACAAACGTGAAATCTAAGGAAAGACTCACACCACTATGAAAAGGTAGATAGGAACACTGGAGAAGTATAGGAAGATGAGGCCATCTTACAAGAAGGTAAGAATAATACAGCTAAAATTTTTAACAAGTATCTAAAGGCAAAGTGTAGGTTAGGATGAAAGCACAGAACTCCTAGAAATTGTAAACATTTGCATCATCATCTCCAGGAACCTCTCTCTTCCAGACCATCAAGAAAAAGATTAGAGCAACCAGAATAAATGATCCTCAGAGGTACAAGCTTTGAGGAAGGGAACCACCACTACTGCAAGGAAAACAACCCTTTCCCCTGTGGAACAAAAGTCTTAAGCTGTTGAAGTAAGAGCATCAAATCATGTTGTCTCCAAAGCACAGGTGAAGATCTGCTGTGGATGGGGTAAAAGTAAAAAAAAAAAAGTATCCTCCTACCCTGGGAGTTACAGGGAGACAGGAAACCACACTGGGTCCTGACTTCATAGGTCTCCCATTGCTGAGGGAGGGAAATAAAACTCTCATGCAAAGGATGTATGGACGACACAAGGCAGTTTGACTCCCGCAGGAAAGGAGGGCAGGATCCCTGAATAAACCCCATTTCCCAAGTCTCAGGATTATAGAACCTAACCAACACTGCAGATGGACCAGGTCAACAAAGAATATCTCTGTAGCCTAGTATCAGGCTAGCAATCACCAAGGCAAAAACAACAACACTCTACATTTGCAGGAGGGCCATGAACATGGAGAAAAACCATCTCTGAGGCATACATGCACAAAGAAGATTTAAAGCAGAGGGTTAAACAGTTAACTGAGAAAAATCCTCTCGCAAATCAGACCCACCGTAAACATAAGGTAACACCAGTGGAGTTTCAAATCCATGGTGCACTGAAAGGTATATTACTCAGCTCTGGCTACCATAACAAAATATCACAGACTGGACAACTTAAACAACGGAAATTTATTTTCCCATAGTTCGGAAGGCTAAATGTCCCAGATCAAGGTGCTCATATTTGGTTCCTGGTAAGGAACTCTATACTCACTGTGTTCTCACATGATGGAGATTGAGAGAAAGCTCTCTAATGTCTCTTCTTATGAGGACACCTATCCTATGGGATCAAGGATCTACCCTTCTAGCCTCATTTAACCTTAATTACCTCATAAAAGCCTTAGCTCCAAATATAGTCACACTGGCAGGTGGGACTTCAACATATGAGTTTTGGGAGACACAAACACTCAGTCTATAACAGAAAGCAACTATAACAAAATTCAAATTTGGCTCAACTTCTCGCTAGATTGCCTCAAATCACAAACACCAATAGTCAAGCAGAAGAGGTGTATTCATTTCAGCAATACTGTTTGCCTCAGTTGCTACAGTCCTACACATGATGCCCATTAGAATTTAATAAAAATTACAAGATATGAAAAAGGAAAAAAATACTGTTAACAGATAGTGATACACAGACCAGTTTCAGAGATGACACAGATGTTATAATCATATAAGGGAACTTAACCATAATTAATATATTAAAAGCTGTAATAGAAAAGGTACACAATATGCGTGAAAAGTCAGAAATTTCAGCAGAGAGAAATCTTAAGAGTCAAATGGAAACAGAAATCAAATAGCACCGTAGGATGACTATAGTTAACAATAATTTACTATATATATCAAAATAGCCAGAAGATTTGGAATGTTTCCAACACAAAGAATAAATGTTTGAGGTGATAGATATCCTAATTATCATAACTGATCATTACACACTGTATTCATGTATCAAAATATTACATATACCCCATAAATATGCACAAAATACATGAAGCAAAAATTAGTAGAAAAGACAGACAAATCCACAGAGGACAAACCCACAATTACTCTCCTAATAATTGATAAAACAAACGGAACATTAGTAATGCTGTATTAAATTTAAACAACAGTATCAAATGACCTGACCAAATTGACACTTGTAGAAAGAATATTACATCCAACAGAATATACATTCTTTTCATGTGTAAATGGAGAATTTACCAAGATTAATTATGTGCTGGACCACAAAAGAAGTCTAAAATCTAAAAGGATTGAAATCATACAGAAAATATTCTCTGACCACACTGGAAATAACAATAAGATATTTGGGGAAATACCAAATAGTTGGAAAGTAAACAACACATTTCTAATTATCTATGGATCAAAATTCACAAGGAAAATTAGAAAATA